CAAAATCCTGGAACTCAAGAGGGAGGTGATGATGGAATGGGAATATCACTGTCAAGAACCCACAAACCCAGGCTAATATGCTGGGGCCACTGGTGAAAATCTGAATTGAACAAAAAGAGAATGTGGCATTAAAAGCTAGTCTAATAGTGGCCATGTGGCCACTGTTGTAAAAACCCATTTGGTTCCCTCATGTCCTTTAGGGAAGGACATCTGCTGCCCTTTCCTGGTCTGGCCTACATGTGACTCTAAAGCCATAGCAATATTTTGAGAAGTCTTGTTGAGGTTCTACAGGACATTGGTGAGGCCTCTTCTGGAATACTGTGTCCAATTCTGGTTGTCCAGTTGTAATAAGGATGTTATTAAGCTGGAGGGGGTTCAGGAGAGATTTACCAGGATGTTGCCGGGAATGGAAGGTTCGAGTTAAAAGGAGAGGCTGGATAGGCTGAGACTTTTTTTCAATGGACCGTAGGAGGTCAAGAGGCGACCTGATAGAAGTTTATAAAATAATGAAGGGTATAGATAGTTAATGGTAGTTGTCTTTCCCTAGGATGAGGGATTTTAAGACTAGGGAATGCAATTTTAAGGTGAAAAGAGAGGGGCAAATTTTTTACACGGTGGGTGGTTTGGATGTGTAATGAACTTCCTGAGGAAGTAGTGGATGTGGATACAATTACGTTTAAAAGACATTTGGATAAGAGAAACGGTTGGAGGGATATGGGCCAGGAGCAGGTAGGTGGAACTAGTTTAGTTTGGGATTATGTTCGGTATGGACTGATTGGACCGAAGGGTCTGTTTCCATGCTGTATGACTCTATAACTATGTGGTTGATTCTTAACTGCCCTCTGAAGTGGCCTGGACAGCCAATCAGTTGTTAGTTTTGTATCAGAGATAGACTGATTTTTTTTTAGCAAAGGCATTAAGGGAAATTGCCAAAGACACTTTTATGGAGTTAGGCAATATATGAGCCATGATCTCATTGAAGGGAGAAACAGGCTCTTGGGGCTGAACGGCCTACTCCTGGTCCTAAAGGTATTTAGGAAAGGTTTGACAAATGCTGGCCTTTATTCTTTCATGGAATTTGCATTAAAGAAAAAAAAACCTCCTTAACAGCACTGCAGGTTTATTTACACCACATTGGCCATGGCAGCTCAAGAAAATGGCTCATCATTACTCACTCAACGGCAAGTGGGGATAAGCAACAAATACTAGTCTTCCCAGCAATGCTTACAGGTCAACGGCAAATAGAAAAGTGGATCAGAAGGCTCCAAGTTTGATGACCCCATCCCTCATATTGAGTTCCTATAGAGGGCAGTGGAGCTGAGTGCTGCTTCATCGGGCGGTGAGAGTTTGAAGCAAAACAGATCTACATACCTAGAGATAGCAAGAACTGCAGATGCTAGAGTCAGAGATAACACAGTGTGGAGCTGGAGGAACACAGCAGGCCAGGCAACATCAGAGGAGCAGGAAAGCTGACGTTTCGGGTCAGGGCTCTTCTTCAGGATGGTCTTATCTGAAAAAGGGTCTTTTTGTGAAGAAGGGTCCCGACCTGAAACATCGACTTTCCTGCTCCTCTGATGCTGCCTGGTCCACTGTGTTCCTCCAGCTCCACACTGTGAGATCTACATACCTGGCTCGGATTACCGTCTTGTATTTCCTTTTAAATGTTGCTGACAAGGCGATGATTGTTTTCTGACTCTAATTGGCCTGGAGAAGCTGGGGTGTGACTTGAAGCAGGAATAGGTCATTAGGCTCCTCAGGCCTGCCTTGCGATCCTATAAGATCATGACTGACTTGCTCCCAGGCCTCAATTCGTCTTTAGTGTCAGTTCCTCCTAGCCCTCAATTCCTTGATAGCTCAAAAATCTATCGACCTTCTATTCAAATACTTGCAGCAATCTAGCCTCCACAACTGTCTTAGAATCCCTACTGTGTTGAAGCAGGCCTTTTGAACCATCAAATCCACACTGACCCCCTGAAATACATCCCACCACCCTATCACCCTGTATTTTTACAATGGCCAACCCACCTAGCTGCACATCCCTGGACCCTACGAGGCAATTTGGCACAGCACATCTTGGGACTGTGGGAGGAAACCAGAGCAAACCCGCACAGACACAGGAAGAACATGCAAACTCCACTCAGACAGTGGCCCGAGGCTGGAATCGAACCCGGATCCCTGGCACTGAGAGCCGGTGTGCCACCTCTTGGAACAGAATAGTCCAGACATTCACTACCCTCTCAGATAAGAACCTTCCTTGTATCTGTTTCAAATGCACTTATTCTGCAACCATGCGTCCTATTTTGAGATTCCCCCACTAGTGGAAATGTCTTCTCAACATCTACCCTGTCAAGCCTCCCTCAGAATCTTGTGTGTTTCGGAAAGATCATCCTCATTCTCCTAAACTCTAATGAAGAAAAGCAGAACCTCTTCAGCTATTCTTAATAAGCCAACCCCTTCATTCTGGGAATAAGTCTAGCGAGTGTCTTTCAAGTTGCCTCCTGTTCCACCGTATGCTTTCTCAAATACAGCATCCAAAACTGTACTGCCTTGTAGGGTGCAGCCAATATTCCAAGTGTGACCTCACCAACGCCCTGTGTACTATTGCAACAAAACTTCCTTATTTTTAAACTCCAACCTCCTGGCAACAAAGGCCAAAACTCCAATCACCTTTTTGAGCAGGAGAATAATTTGAAAGCCACTTAGCTGAGGTTTCAGTGTGGAAGCAGTAGCTACCATCTCAGCACTTTCAGGAGAGGAGAGAAAAGAAAAACATCAATTTAATTCACAGTCAACATTTTTCACTAGTATTTTCTTGTAAAACACATGCAGGCATATGACTATTACCCTTTGTTACAGTAATCGTTAGTGGCTCAGTGGTTAGCACTGCTGTCTCAGTGCTAGGGACCTGGATCCAATTCCTTGGGTGAATGTGTGGAGTTTGCACATTCACCCCATGTCTGCGAAGGTTTCCTCCAGGTGCTGTGGCTTCCTTCCATATTCCAAAGATGTGCAGGTTGAGTGGATCGGCTATGCTAAATTGCCCCATGACGTGCACGCTAGATAGGTTAGCCATGGGAAATGCAAGGTTACCAGGATAGAGTGGAAGGCTGCAACTGGGCAAGCTGTTCTTCAGTGGGTCAGTGGTGACACAGTAGGCTGAATGGTCTTAATCTACACTATAGGGATTCTCATAAGAGTAGGAAGGCCTGAAGACTGGGTGCAGATGGTAGATTTCCCTTCCTAAGGAACATTACTGAACCAGACGGGTTTTTATGACAATTGATGATCATTGTCCTGGTCAGCAAAGAGACTGGCTTTGTATTCCAGGTTTACCGATTGAGGTGCATTTGAACACTTGCCCCCACAGCATTAGTGCAAGCTCCTGGATTAGTTACAGTACCACTATGCCGTCCTAGTCTTCTGAGCAACTCTGGGCTAAGTCCAGCAAGTAGGGAAATGCCACTGGCCCGTGCAGGAGAGCTGCCTTGCAAAACATGGAGTGACTCAGAGGCTGCAGTTGGCTTTTATGCTATCTGCTACAGAATCCCTTACAATTATCTCTTTCCATTAGTCTTAAGACTGTCTGGATACAGCAACACTGCCTTCTGTACTTTAGATGCAGAATCCAAACTGCACTCGCTATCTGTGGCTTTGCAGTAATGTGAACCTAGAGATAAACATCCCAGGAGAAGCAGCCCCCTGAAAGATTTGTTTGTGACTTGTTACTCCATGGGCTGTCACTGGCAAGTATATCCCCATCCCTATCCCTAATTGCCCTCAAGGTAGTGCTTCATTCCCTGCAATCTCTTCCCAAGCTGTATGAAACAAGTGAACTCGGCACTGCGGTCTCTCAGCGCCTGTGACTCAGGTTCAATGTCACCCTCGGGCAACTGTCTGTGTGGAGATTGAACATTCTCCTCACGTCTGTGGGTTTCCCCCAGTACTCCAATTTTGTCCCACAGTCCAAAGATGTGCAGTTTTGGTGGATTGGCTATGCTAAAGTGGCCTGTAGGGTCTCAGGATGTGCAGGTTGGGTGGGTTAACCATAGGAAATGCTTAGTTGCAGCAGTAGGATAGACTGGGCCGGATGCTCTTTGGAGGGTCAGCATGGACTCCATTGGCTGAATGGCCTGCTTCCACACTGTAGGGCCTCTACAGTTGAACTAAGTAGCTTGCTAGACCGTTTCAGAGGGCAGTGAGGAGTCAACACCCATTGCCTAAAGCCTGCAGTCACAGATTTGGGAAAAGATGGCAGGTTTCCTTCCCTAAAAGGATACTGGCATGTCAGATGGGCTTTCAAATGTTGATTGATGAAAGCTTTATGGTCACCATAACTGAGCCCAGCCTTCAATGTCAGACTTGATAATTAACATTGAACAAAAAAAAAACACATAGAACATTGAATAGTACAGCACAGTACAGGCCCTTCAGCCCATGATGTTGTGCCGACCTATTATCCTACAAAGATCCTACTAATTAGTCGGATCAATTAATCGTATTCAAATTCCAACCAGCTACCTAGGGGGGACACAAACCAATATTTGAGAGGCTACAGTAAATGCTCTTCGAGTGCCACTTCATTTGACATATTCCCAAATGCAAAAGCAGTGTACCACTACTATAATAGACAAAGTGCTGTACATTGGCTGACGCGCATGTGAAGGGAAGTGAACGAGAGGTGAATAGGATCAGCCATGATCCTACTGAATGTCAGAGAAGGCTTAAGGAACCAGATATGGCCTACATGGTCTTAAGGCTACACTGGTGCTACTGAAGAAGGTATTTTAGCCGTAGCCGTTTCAGATGCTGCCAGACCTGCTGAGCTTTTCCAGCAACGTCCGTTTTGGTTTCTGATGTACAGCATCTGCTGTCCTTTTGGATTTTATTAAGATATTTTTGCCAGTGGGATTGAGCCGGGGGTTGTTTTGTGGGTGTGCACAGGTTGGGGGCGGGGGGGGGGGGGCAGGTGGAAGGCAGCAAAAATCAAACCACACATTCACTCCATCTCCAACCACCAGTTTATTTTCATTTGTCACCATGAAGTTATTCATTTAACCCTCCTGCAGTTTTACTAGATCATGGCTGCAAGTGATTGCAAACAGCTGACAGGACAAACAGGCACGGAAAAGAGGTGGGGGGGGAAAACAACCAGCAAAGCTTGGTGGTCTCTGTGCAGAGAGAGAGAGAGAGAGAGAGAGAGTGAGAGTGTGAGAGAGTGTTTGTATCCAATAAAAATATACAATGATCCTATTCAAAAATTTTTTAAGACACGATTGTTTGGTCACAGCCAAGGGGAGGAAATACAATCAAGCCCAGCTTTTGAAGTGCCAATAAAAGGCTCAACTGAACTCCTGGGTATGCACCTGAATCCCATTTACCTTCAGCACACAATGGAGGGGAAGGGACTCTGAGCTATTTGAAGGAAGCAGAATTCAGTGATGAATCCACAAGACCCAAAAATCCATGAAGCTGTAAAAAAAAAAAAAATCAGTCAACAGTTATTATCACAGGTTCTCCATGCGTATGTATAACTGCTGGCTTCTGTCATTATGGAACACCAAAAGGGGCAAAGCAACAAAAAAGGAAGGAATATTTGCCCCTACAGAAGTGCAGAAAAAAAAAAAAACTAGCGCCTGGCAATCTGCTCGAGTCTGCCCGAATCCAGCCAGCTGTGTCCTGAGCAACACCGACACCCCCTTCTCCAAAAGTCACAATGTCCTCGTCTCCCAGGGAGGGAGGACTGCAGAGGTTCCAAAGCAAGCTATTAACCACAAAAAAAAAGGAAGGATATGGTGGGCAGGAGGGGGGCTTTCAACAACAAAACATCCAGGTCTGTGAGTGTGAGAGTGGGTTTAAAAATTACTTTTGAAACAAAAAGAAACCACATATAGGATTCATTAACAGATTGTGGGGCCTGGCTTCCACAATGGGGAGATGACAGCACGTGAGGAAGAGCACGCGAAAAAGAGAGCGCGCATGAGAGAATCCTCAAAACTAGAAGTTACAGAAGCAGTACGCAAAGAATCCCAAACTCAGACCCGAAACAGATTTCACTCTCTTTCTAAAAGATGACTTATTTCCGAGAGGGACGCAAACAGTCTACTGCGCACGCAGCAGCTTCCGAAATCAGCCAGATGGATTTCCTCCTGTTAAATTTTATTATCAAGCCTCTTTTTTTATTTTTAAAAGTCATGGTGTAAAGCAGCGTGTTGGTTGAGACTGGATGCTGAGCTGAGTCACTGTGTCTCACAGACGTGGGAGGTGTAGGGGAGGAAGAGAGAAAGACTGCATATCAGCTTGAAAAAAAAAAGTTCTGCAGAGCCGTGATTTAGTTCCAAGGGACCAATGATGAGGAAGTCTTTTCTCAGAGGAAAGATATCATTTTGGAAAAGTGCCCAAAAAGAGAGGAGGGGCTTCAATTAAAAAAAAAATTAAACTGGTCCATGAGTGAAAGGATGCCTGCTGGGGTCAACAGTGCTGCAGGCTCCAGCAAACTCATCTTGTCTATTTCTTCGCCAATGAGGTTCCAACAACCTGTAACAGAACAAAACATATCAGACATCATTGAGTGGTTCAACAATGGCATGTTCACAAGGTTTTATTTTTGAAAGAAGTGTCAGGTAAATGAGTTTGGAAATCTTAAAGCAGTGTGACTGATGGAGTGACCAATTTCCGATTCCCAACTCGGGACAATCCGCAGTACATCCCTTCAATGAAATGGCCAGGATTGGGAATTACTGGGTAACATCAGCAGAGACCCACACCCCACCCTTCAGAGAACAGGTTCACACCGCAAGTCGAGTTCTGGCAAAAGTTCTCTCTCTCTCTCCCCGAGATACTGCGTAACCTGCTTAGCGATTCCAGCATTTTCTCTCTTCTCTCCATATTGGCACTCCCATACTTTGCTCTTATATTGAAAACACAGGCACTCCAATTGGCTGCACAGATCTGAAAGCATCCGTAACAAACAGCAACCCAAGCTGCAAGTGCTCAGCCGGTGTGACACCGAGCGACAGAGGGAGCGAGAGAGAGAGAGCGCGAGAGAGCGTGCGACACAGAGAGAGAGAGAGAGAGAGCAACACAGAGAGAGAGAGAGAGAGAGAGAGAGAGAGAGAGCGACACAGAGAGAGAGAGAGAGAGAGAGAGCGACACGGAGAGAGAGAGAGAGAGAGAGCGACACGGAGAGAGAGAGAGAGAGAG